ACATCGCTAAATCCAGTGTCATAAAGATTTTCCTGTGTTTTCATCTAAGAGTTTTATAATTTTAATTTTATGTCTTTGGTCCATTTTGAGTTCATTTTTATATATGGTGAAAAAGGTAAGAGTCCAGCTTCATTTTTTTTGCAGGTGGAGATCCAATTTTCCCAACACCATTTGTTGAAAAGACTATCCTTTCCCCCTTGGGTGATTTTGGCACTTTTGTTGAAAATCAATTCACCACATATATGAAGGGTTTAGTTCTGGGTTCTGTATTCCATGGGTCTGGTCTATATTTCTTTTTTTTTTTTTTTTAAATTTTTTTTTTTCAACGTTTATTTATTTTTGGGACAGAGAGAGACAGAGCATGAACGGGGGAGGGGCAGAGAGAGAGGGAGACACAGAATCGGAAACAGGCTCCAGGCTCTGAGCCATCAGCCCAGAGCCCGACGCGGGGCTCGAACTCACGGACCGCGAGATCGTGACCTGGCTGAAGTCGGACGCTTAACCGACTGCGCCACCCAGGCGCCCCCTGGTCTATATTTCTATCCCTATGACAATACCATATTGTTTTGATTACTGTGGCTTTGTAGTAAGTTTTGAAATCAAGTATGAGTCCTCCAACTTTATCTTTTTCAAGAATAGTTGGGTACTTGGGATCCTTTGAGATTCTACATGAATTTTAGGAAGGATTTTATCATTCCTATAAAAAAAAAAGCCACCATTGGAATTTTAATAGAGATTGCTTTGAATCTGTAGATTACTTTGGATAGTATTGTCATCTTAACAATAGTATGTCTTTTAGTCCTTTAATATGGGATGGCTTTCCATTTATTTCTGTCTTTATTTCTCAGGCTTCATTTAGGTACAATTGACAAATATTTAAAGATATTTAGGGGCGCCTGGGTGGCTCAGTCAGTTAAGCATCCGACTTCGGCTCAGGCCATGACCTTGCGGTCCATGGGTTCGAGCCCTGCGTCGGGCTCTGTGCTGACCGCTCAGAGCCTGGAGCCTGTTTTGGGTTCTGTGTCTCCCTCTGTCTCTGACCCTCCCCCGTTCATGCTCTGTCTCTCTCTGTCTCAAAAATAAATAAACGTTAAAAAAAATTTTTTAAGATATTTAAAGTGTACAACATGATGATTTGATATATAATGCAAAAGGTTTATTTATGTCTCCTTTAATTTCTTTTAGTAATGTTTTGTAGTTTTCAGTGTACAAATCTCTCACCTCCTTGGTTAAATTCATTCCTAAATATTTTATTCTTTTTGATGCTGTTATGAATGGAGTTTTAAAGATATTTTCTTTTTGGATTGTTCATTGCAGTTGTATAGAAGTACAATTTTGGGTGTTGATTTTTCTTAACATTTATTTTTGGGAGAGAGAAAAAAAGAGAGAGGGACAGAGCATGCACATGTGTGACCAGGGGAGGGATAGAGAGGGAGAGGGAGGATCTGAAGTGGGCTCTGTGTGGACAGCAGAGAGCCTGATGTGGGCCTTGAACTCACGAACTGTGAGATCATGACCTGAGCCAGTGGGAGGTTTAACCAACTGAGTCACCCAAGCACCTCTTGCATGTTGATTTTATATCCTGCAACTTTGCTGTATTCATTTATTAAGTCTAACTTTTTTTGTGTGTGTGGATTCTTCAAGGTTTTCTACATAGAAGATCATGTCATTCCACAAGCAGATAATTTTACTTTTTCCTTTCTAATTTGGATGCTTTTTATTTCTTTTTATTTCCTAATTGCTATGGCCAGAGCTTTCAGTAATATGTTGAATAGAAATGGCTAAAGCAGGCATCCTGTCTTGTTCCTGATCTTAGGGAGAAACCTTCAGTCTTTTACCATTGAGTTGGTGTTAGCTGTGGGTTTTTCATATGTGCCTTTTTCATGTTGAGGAAATTCCCTTATATTCTCCTTTATTTTTTACATGAAAGAGTGTCATTTTGTCAAATGCTTGTTCTGCGTCATTGAGATGCTGATGTAGTTGCCCCTCCCCACCTCTTCATTCTATTAATGTGGTGTATTTTGCTTGACATTCTTTATTTTGAGCCACCCTTGCATTCCTGGGATAAATCCCACTTGGTCATGGTGTATAATCACTTTAATATGTTGCTAGGTACTATTTTTTTGAGGATTTTGAGGATTTTTTTATGTCTATATTCATAATGAATATTTTGTTTACTTGCAATGCCTTTGTCTGTCTTTAGTATCAAGGTAATGCTGGCCTTACAAAATGAGTTAAGGGGGCACCTGGGTGGCTCAGTTGGTTGAGCATCCGACTTTTGATTTCAGCTCAGGTCATGATCTCAGGGTTGTGAGATTGAGCCCTTTGTCAGGCTCTGTGCTGAGCTTGGAGCCTGCTTAGGATTCTCTCTCTCTCTCTCTCTCTCTCTCTCTCTCTCTCTGTCTCTCTCTCTCTCTCTCCCTCCTTCCCTCCCTCCCCCTCTCCCCAACGTGTGTGTTCTTTCTCTATCTAAAATAAAATAAAAAATAAAATGAAAAGTTTTTTAAAAACTGAAAAAAATAAAATGAGTTAGGAAGTATTCCCTTATCTTTGATTTTTTTGGATGAGTATAACAGGGGTTGATGTTAATTCTTTAAATGTTTAGTAGAATGTACAATGAAGACATCTAGTCTTGGGCTTTTCTCTGTTCAGGGATTTTTGTTTTTTTTTGTTTTTTTTTGTTTTTTTTTTTAGAGAAGGAGAACAAGTGAGCAGGGGAAGGAAAAGAGGGAGAGGGAGGGAGGGAAGGCGGGAGAGACAGAGACAGAGAATCTTAAGTAGGTTCCACACTCCGAGCCCCATACAGGGCTTGAACTCATGAACTCATGACCTGAGCCAAACGAAATTAAGCGTCTGATCCTCAACCAACTGAGTCATCCAGGCGCCCCTGCCAGGAGATTTTTGATTACCAGTTTCATCCCCCTATTTGTTACAGATTGTTGGGATTTTTCTATTCCTTTTGTGTAAGTTTTGGAAGTTTGTGTATTTCTAGAAATTTGTCTATTTCCTCTATTTCATCTAGGTTATTCAGTTTGTTGGCATACTATTTTCAGAGTATCATAATCCTTTTTATTTCTGTGTATTCCATTGTAGTATCCCCACTTTAATTTTAGTAATTTAACTCTTCTTTTTTCTTAGTTAGTCTAAGTCAGTCAGCAGCTTATTGATTTTGTTGATCTTTTCAAAGAATCAACTTTCAGTTTCACTGATTTTTTTTTTCCTATGCTTTATTTTAGTTTCTCTCCACTCTGAATTTCCTTATTTCTGCTGCTTTAGGGTTCAGTTTGCCCTTTTTTCCCCTACTTCCTTAAGGTATACAATTAGCTTATTAATTTGAGATTTTTCTTCTTTTTCTTTCTTTTTTTCTTTTTAAAAATTTTTTTAAAAATGTTTATTTATTTTTGAGAGGGAGAGAGAGAGACAGAGTGCAAGCGGGGGAGGGCAGAGAGAGAGGGAGACACAGAATCTGAAGCAGGCTCCAGGCTCCGAGCTGTCAGCACAGAGCCCGACGCGGGGCTCGAACCCACAAACCACAGGATCATGACCTGAGCTGAAGTTGGACGCTTAACCGACTGAGCCACCCAGGCACTCCTCTTCTTTTTGAACATAAGCATTTATAGCTACAAATTTCCCTCTTCGCACTACTTTTAGTACACCCATAAGTTTTAGTATATTGTTTTTGTTTTCATTTATCTCCAGATATTTTCTGATTTTCCTTGCGATTTATATCTGTACATTTACATCAGTATTATTGTAGTAAGTTGTTGGTAGTGATGTTTTACAATTTCCAGCACTTTTAGATGTTATGTACCCAGAGAAGTTGCCTTGCATCATAGTTTTTAAAAATTTCAATGTGTTATTTTTTTTCCTAGAAATTCCAAATTTTTTTCAATCCTCCTTGCTTTGTTTTGGTTGTATCTTATTCCTTTATTTATGCTTTGATTCCCATTTTTGTCTTTGTTTTAAACATTCTGTTCTGATTTTATAGTAGTTCCATAATTTTAATATCTAATCCTTTTTTGAGATACTCCCTGATAGCACCCATGCCAAATTGTTTCATTGTATGTTTTATAATTTTAGGTTATATACTGATGTTTAGTGGGGTTTTAATTATGGAAGTCCCATGAGGCCTGGATTGAGAGTGTAAGCTCTTACACATTTCATCTAATCTATTTGAGTGACAGGAACGTGTGATTTAAGTGATTGAAGGAAACTCTCCCACACATCTCAAGCTAGAGTGCACGTTTCATGAAACCAGGAGTCTTTGTTTTATCTACTACTGTCTCCCAAATTGTCTACTAACAGTGCTTGTCATGTACTGGGTACCCTACCTATATCTGTTGAACTGAATTTACCATCTTTCTTTGCTGGTGGGTGCATTAATTTTGACAAATCCACAGTTTCACTGAGGAAGTGGGAAAGGACTATCATAGGTACTTTCTATCAATAATGGCTCGGGTTTTCTTTTGAAATTTTACCTGTTTGTTCCAATAACATAACTTTTACCCCAAGCTATACAAAAAGATAATTCTTGTTCTGTTGTGGTGAATAAGCATTTGTCTCTTTCCTGAGTCTATTTTTGTTGAGTCCTCATATTAGTTGAGTTTGGCTCTCTGAGCCACCTTCAATTTATTTTTCACTAATCTTCAAATTTCTCCTTTTATGGAGGGTGAGAAGGGATATTTACATAATTTTTAAAATTAAGATAATCAGATTAAGCTCTGAAAGTTAAAAAAAAAAAAAAACCCACCTTGGGGAACTTGGCTGGCTCGGTTGGTAAAGCATGTGACTCTTGATCTTGGGGTCATGAGTTCTAGTCCCGCATTGGGTGGAGTTTCCTTTAAAAAAAATCTTAAAAAACAAACAAAAAACCCTACATTATTCAAATGATATAGTTTAGTACTGAGAATTTAGATAACCACCAAACATAAGGAATGATAGGTAAAAAGCAGGAAAAATTAGCAAAGAGAAAATTTGTGTTTATTTTTCAACCTAAAGACATGTGGTACATTTTTCTGATTAACACACTGACCATGGGCAGGAGAAAACCTACCCGTATTGAGTGAGAATATAACTTAACAGCTAATTTCTTTTTCACTTTAGTGTAAAACTTATTAAATTGTTTTGAAATGAAATTTAAATGCTATTATCTGGCAGTCTTGGGATTATCTTTGAAGAATATTAAAGAAGAAAATTTAACTTTTTAATATCATTACCAATAAATTTAGTAGACTTTTAAAAATTTTTAACATTTTATTTATTTTTGTGAGACAGAGAGAGAGCATGAGCAGGGGAGGGACAGAGAGAGAGGGAGACACAGAATCCAAAGCAGGATCCAGGCTCTGATCTGTCAGCACAGAGCCCGACATGGGGCTTGAACTGACGAACTGTGAGATCATGACCTGAGCTGAAGTCAGATGCTTAACCGACTGAGCCACCCAGGTGCCCCAGTAGGCTTCTTATTCATTTGATATGATACAAATTATTATTTTTAAGAAAATTTTTAAGTTTACTTATTTACTTTGAAAGAGAGAGAGGGAGAGAGAGACAATCCCAAGCCGTCTCCACACTGCCAGTGCGGAGCCAGATGTGGGACTCGAATTCATGAACCATGAGATCATGGCCTGAGCTGAAATCCAGAGTTGGATGCTTAACCGACTGAGCCACCCAGGTGCCCCAATATGATACAAATTAGATGAACATGAATGTAAACAAATAAATTTGCCACCTTGAGTACATTGAAGTTATAATGAGCTTGTTTTCAAAAAGATAAATTCTTCTTTATATTGCCTTTATGTGATCATGTTGAACTACTCTCTGTGATTGATTATAGAAGAGTATGAATTGACCCAACATTTGGTATTAAAGTGCTTTTAGTTCTATTGTTAAAGGTGGGGTCATGTGACATAATGATGCCTGAACATTGCTTCTTCTTTGTTTTGCAGTCCCAATTCCTGGCAGATTTGATCGGCGAGTATCAGGTATGTTTTCTCTTTCATAACATACTGCCAAAATGCTGTTTTAAGATGGGATTATTTTAAATAAAAATAAACTGATCTTGTAAATAAAAAGATAAGTTAGCAGCATTACAGAACATTATAAAAATTACCTGCAATTCCTCCATTCTGTTTCAAGTTCTGAGTATATATGTACATATTAGTTTGTCTCATTTATGTCAATAGTATTTTTCCATGTTCATAATTATGACTTCTGAAAACTACTTTTTTTGTCAACACTTGCATATAGCTCATTGCAACAAGTGTACTTCTTAATCCGTATCACCTGTTTAACCCATCCCCCCACCCACTTACCCTCTGGTAATCATAAGTTTGTTCTCTATGGTTAAGAGTCTGTTTCTTGGTTTGCCTCCCTCTCTCTCTTTTTTTTTTTAACAACGATTTGCTCATTTGTTTTGTTAAATTCCACATGTTAAATTCCAATGTAAGTGAATTCATATGCTTCTTAGTCTTTCTGTGACTGACTTATTTCACTTAGCTCCATCCATGTCATTGCAAATGGCAAGATTCCATTCTTTTTTATGGTTGAGTGATATTCCATTGTATATAAACACCTCATCTTCCTTATCCATTCATCAATTGATGGACACTTGGGCCATTCACATAATTTCGCTATTGTAGATAATGCTGCTATAAACATTGGGGTGCATGTATCCCTATGGATTAGTATTTTTTAAAAAAAATTTTTTTAACACTTATTTGAGAGGCAGAGTACAAGTGGGGTGGAGGAAGAGAGATGAATTAGTATTTTTGTATTCTTTGGGTAAATACCTAGTAGTGTGGTTGCTGGATTCTAGGGTAGTCCTATTTTTAACTTTTTTTTTTTAATGTTTATTTTTGAGAGAGAGAGAGAGAGACAGAGACAGAGTGTGATCTGGGGAGAAACAGAGAGCAAAAGTGAGACAAAGAGTGTGAAGCAGGCTCCAGGCTCTGAGCTGTCAGCACAGACTCATGGACCTCAAGATCATCATGACCTGAGCTGAAGTCGGGCGCCTAACCAACTGAGCCACCCAGGCGCGCCTATTTTTAACTTTTTGAGGAACTTCCATACTGTGTTCCAGAGTGGCTGCACCATTCTCATTCCCATCAACAGTGCAAGAGGGCTCCCCTTTCTCTACATCCTTGTCAATGCCTTTTGTTTCTTGTGTTGTTGATTTTAGCCATTCTGACAGGTGTGAGGTGATACATCATTGTAGTTTTGATTTGTATTTCCCTGATGATAAATGATATTGAGCATCTTTTCATGTGTCTGTTGGCCATCTGGATGTCTTCTTTGGAAAAATGTCTATTCATAAAAGCTACTTTTTGTATTGCTATTTCTCTGGTATTCTAGATTATGCTGTATTAACTTCTTGCATACACTGTTGAACCACTAAAATTATTTCCTCAGTTATAGTGCTGAGTAGCACTCTCTGGTCGGAGACTTGAGCATTGCCTGGATTTTTCTGTGTATTGCTTTCCAGAGGCATTCTACAGAATAGACTGCAGGGAGAAAGAACACCCTACAAAGGCCTCTCTTCTGCCACCGTCTCACTGTTATAGGTGGTGCCTACTACTTTAATTTAGATGTAAAATAGTACCTCAGATTGTTTTATTTGGCACTCCTTTGATTATTAACAAAAATGAGTGTTTTCCAAATATGAGAAATGTGTTTTTATTTTCTCCTATGGGACTAGTTTGGTAGTATTTTTCTCTTTTATCTATTATGATCGCGATTATTTTTTTGTAAGTTTGAGCAAATTTCTGTCATCATTTTTAACCTTTTGAAAGTTTCAATGCAACATTTCCCAAGTTGGTTGTGCTGCTTATTTTAATTTTGCTATTTTTTATTGACTCGAATTTTAATATGTGACTGGTACCATGAACACTGCCTAGCACATAGCAAGCACTCACTAAATATTTATTGAATATATAGATCTTTTTTTTCGTGATTTCTCTGAAGCTAAGAAGAGTCCTCCTTTTTTTTATAGAACTGGTAAATATATTTTCTGCAAGTTTCCTTATAAGTAAAATGTTTGAGTTTTGGATACATTTAGAGTTTCTATGATTGTATAGTAGGGAGGTTAATGTGTTTTAGAATTACTGTGTGAGCTGTATGTATCACATCATTTTTTTTTTTAATTTTTTTTTTTCAACATTTATTTATTTTTGGGACAGAGAGAGACAGAGCATGAACGGGGGAGGGGCAGAGAGAGAGGGAGACACAGAATCGGAAACAGGCTCCAGGCTCTGAGCCATCAGCCCAGAGCCCGACGCGGGGCTCGAACTCACGGACCGCGAGATCGTGACCTGGCTGAAGTCGGACGCTAAACCGACTGCGCCACCCAGGCGCCCCTTTTTTTTTTTAAATGTTTATTTTTGAGAGAGAGACAGAGTGCAAGTTGGGGGAAGGGCAGAGAGAGAGAGAGAGAGAGAGAGAGAGAGAGAGAGAGAGAGAGAGATGCAGAATCTGAAGCAGGCTCCAGGCTCTGAGCTGTCTACACAGAGCCTGACACAGGGCTCCAACTCCTGAACTGTGGGATTATGACCTGGGCCAGTGATCTCTTAATGTCAACTGACCACCCAGGTGTTCCTCATTCTTTTTTTTTTTATGTTTATTTATTTATTTTGAGAAAGAAAGAGAGTGTGTATGCTCACATTTGAGCGTGGCAGGGCAGAGAAAGAAAGAGAGAGAGAGACAGAGAGAGAGTTAGGGAGAGAGAATCAAGCAGGTTCTGTGCTGTCAGTGCAGAGCCTGACTTGGGGCTCATTTTCACAAACGCTGAGATCATGACCTGAGCCTAAGTCAAGAGTCAGACGCTCAACCAACTGAGCCCCCCAGGCACCCCTCACATCATTCTTTCATATCTCTTCATTCTTGATTTTAAACTATCATATGACCTAATTTCTAGTAACACTTGGAATCCCTTTTCTATCCCTCAATCCTTTTCTTTGAGAAAATCTGCTCATTTATGTTTCAGAAAGCCTTTGGTAAGTTGTACACCAAAGTCTGTTGAAAGGAGATAGAAAAAAATATGTTCTTATGTGTAGAGAGACAGCTACAGAGAAGAAATAGAGTGGCAGTTAAGGTTGGTATGAGATCTATATGCACTATTATCTCCCATTTCTGTTTATCCTTGCCCTATACCCCTTTTTCCCCAGACAATTAGTGATATCTCTTAACATGTGTAAGACAGATCTCGGAGATGAGAGAGTACAGTGACATCTTCTGTAGAGGTCACAGGTGGTGTTAGTTCATGAATTGCTGCTTGGGCTTTCTGTCAGTGTTGTTCAGGCCTTGAACTCTGTGGAGAACCCAGACAAGTACATGATATTATCCCTCCTCCTTAGAGTTTACAGTCTTATTGAAGATTTAAAACTTTTAATTAATTAATTTATTTATTTATTTATTTTTATTTTTATTTTTTTAACGTTTATTTATTTTTGAGACAGAGAGAGACAGAGCATGAACGGGGGAGGGTCAGAGAGAAGGAGACACAGAATCTGAAACAGGCTCCAGGCTCTGAGCTGTCAGCACAGAGCCCGACACGGGGCTCA